AGCAGCAGCAGCAGCAGCAGCAGCAAATGCAGCAAATGCAGCAACTGGTACAGACAGTAGCAGCAGCAGCAGCAGCAGCAAAGAGGTTGCTCCTGCTGCTGCTGGTACAGCCTCAGCAACTGCTGCTGCGTCTCCTGCAGAGTCCAGGGCAAGCCCTGTGCCATCCTCACCTCCACCTGCAACAGCAGCAGCACCAACAGGAGCAGCAGCAGCAGCAGGAGGGACGGGGAGTAGACAGCAGAGGGGTGGTGGGGGAGGCAGGCAGCAGCAGCAGCAGCTGCCGAGTCTTGAGGAACTTCTTGCTGCAGTGCAGCGGGTGGATGTCCCTTGTGATCCAGCATCAGCAGCAACAGCAGCAACAGCAGCAACAGCAGCAGCAGCAGGTGGTGCGTGTCAGTACGCCCAAGCCGGTAGCAGTGACGGGTTGCCTACGAGCAGCAGCAGAAGCAGCAGCAACAACAGCAACAGCAGCAGCAGCAGCAGCAGCAGCAGCAGCTGGACCCTGCAGAACCTCTTTAGGCCTCATCTTCGGTTTAGCCGCAGCACAGCAGCAGACGCATTTAAGGGGGGAGCATGGAGACTAGAGTGGCTGCAGCCGCGGCAGCAGCAGCAGCAGCAGCAGCAGCAGCAGGAGTTGCCGCTGCAGCAGGTGAGCTGGGCAGTGTATGTACAGCAGGTGGGTGCCCATGCTGCTTTGCTGCTAGCCCTTAATCTAAAGCAGCAGATAGAAGCAGCAGCAGCAGCAGCAACAGGACCTGAGGAGCTGCAGCAGCAGGTGCAGCAGCTGCTGCTGCAGTCTGTTGCACTGCAGCGGGAGTGTATCAGCAGCAAAGGCAGCAGGAAGCAGCTGCCGCAGCAGCTGCAGCAGCTAGAGCAGCTGCTGCCTCCTAGTACGCTGCAGCAGGCGCAAGCATTAAGAGATAGATGCAGCAGGAAGAGACAGGCAGCAGCAAAGGTTGCTCCTGCTGCTGCTGCTGCTCCTAATGCTGCTGCTGCTGCTGCTGCTGCGTCTCCTGCTGCTTCGGTCGCAAAGTCCCCAGCCGCATCACACTTGGCTTCGCCGCTTGTTGCTGCTGCAGCAGCAGCAGCTGTAGATGCAGCAGGAGCTGCGCCTCTACCGCCTGCTGCAGCAGCAGCACCCCTATCCTCATCAGCAGCAGCAGCGGCAGCAGCAGCTGCTGCAGCGGCAGCTGCAGGAGGGCCTACACAGGTTGATGCAGCTACGCTTGCTCTGCACCAGCGGTTGCTGCTGCTGCAGAGACAGCAGCAGCAGCAGCAACAACTGCTGCAGCAGCGGCAGCAGCAACAGCATCTGCTGCTGCAGCGCCAGGCGCTGTCGCTGCAGCAGCAGCTGTCTCAAGAGCAGCTGCAGCAGCTGCTGCAGCTGAGGAAGCTGAGTGAACCCTCGCAGCAGCAGCAGCAGTATTTGCTGCAGCAGCAACTGCTGCAACTCCACCTGCAGCAGCAGGCGCAGCAGCAAAAGCTGCTGCAGCCGGAGCAGCAGGCGCACAAGAAAGCAAAGGTAGAGGCGCCCGCTGCAGCAGCAGCAGCAGCAGGGAACATGGGGAAGCCTCCAGAGGGGACAGTCAGTGCGCTGCATCCCGCCCTGCTGCAGCAACAGCAGCAGCAGCAGCAGCAGCAGATAGCCCTCTCGGCATCGCTAGGTCATGCAAACAGCAGCAGCAGCAGCAGCAGCAGCAGTAGTAGTAGTAGTAGTAGCCAAGCAGTTCCTGCCTCTCCTACAGCAGCAGCAGAGTAATACTTTTTGTTGGCAGACAGCAGCAACAACAGCAGCAGTAGCAGCAGCAATTGCTGCTGCTACTGCTGCAGCTGCTGCTTGCCTCCAGCTGCTGCTGCTGCAGCAGCAGCAGCAGCAGCTGGCAATTTCTTTCTTGTAATTATCTATAGCATTTTGTATTTAAGGACAAATATGCACCCCGAACAGCAGCAGCAGCAGCAGCAGCAGCAGCAGCGGCAGCAAGGGTAGTTACTAGGCCACCACTTAATAGCTAGCTGTCTATGCTGCTGTTGCTGCTGCTGCTGGTCCTTTACTTCCGCTGCTGCTGCTGCTGCTGCAGTTGCTGCAGCTGCCACTGGCGCAGCAGCAGCAACTGCTGCTTCTAGCACAAGCAGCAGCAGTATAACATTAGGGAGTCAAGGAAAGCTCCATTCTAGCAGCAGCAGCAGCAACAGCAGCAAATAAGCAGCAGCAGCAGCAGCAGCAGCAACAGAGCAACAGCAGCAAAGCTGCTGCGTTGCTGTTTTTTGTCATAAGAGGACAGGTCTTATAAGTTGTTGCCTAAGGAGGTGCCTATACACCTCAATATATATATAAATATAGTTGGATCTGCTGCAGCAGCAGCTGCTGCAGCAGCAGCAACAGCACCTGCTGCTGCTGCTGCATGCATGCATGCATGCAGCAAGAAACAAAGGGGTGTTTTTTTAGCGTTTTGTTGTCGCAAATAAACACAAAAAGGAAAATAAAAAGAATTTATTTATTTATTTATTTATAATTAATTAATTAATTAATTAAATAGTTATATATATAATTATACATATAATCATATATAATTATATATAAATAAATAACTAAGGGAAGAAAAAGGGGAAAAAAACAAAGAAATACTCGCTGTGTTTATATATATATATATATATATATATA